CTTTGTTTTGAGACCCTGAAGTCCTGAATAGGACAGTTCCTGACCAGCCAACAAACTCCTTTGTCATCTTTAACCATGCCTCCACGGACTTCTCAACTCTGAGGTTATTTCAATGCCTCCTCCTCAAGTATTTACAGTATCACAGAGGACACAAGAAGTCACAAAATTACAAGGCAGATAAGAAATGCTCTATTAGACTAAGGAACAAAGTATAAACTATATGAAGTGAGGGAGGGATCCCCAGCAATTCTCAGGAACAGATAGACTTTGTACTGGGAAGGACAAACCTTTGATAAGAAGCTATGGAAGTGAGATTTGGGGGGACAGAAAAGCCTTCTTGATTTTACCTGTGTTTTTTTTTTTTAATTTAATGTAGTTACCTGAATAACTACTTTTAGATTTACAGTGAATGTTTCTGTATAAGTATGGTCAACTTCATTTAAAATTTTTTGTTAAAACATTAAGAAATATTCATGGGGCTGGGAAGGTGGCTCAGTGGCAGAGTGCTTGCCTTGTATGCATGAGGCCCTGGCTTCTATTCCTCAGCACCACATAAGCAGAAAAAGCCGGAAGTGGCACTGTGCCTCAAGTGGTAGAGTGCTAGCCTTGAGCTGAAGAGCTGAGGGACAGCACCCAGGCCTAGAGTTCAGGCCCCATGACTGACAAGAAAGAAAGAAAGAAAGAGAGAGAGAGAAAGAGAGAGAGAGAGAGAAAGAAAGAAAAAAGAAAGAAGGAAAGAAAGAAAGAAGGAAAATAAAAAAGAAACATTCACTTTTATTTACTGTAAAATTAAGTTCACATATAATCTCAATAAAGTCTTCAAGTTCACTTTATGGTCTCTGGGGGAAAAGAGATCAGTAATTATAAGTCTCAGGAAGCAGTCTTTTTTTTTTCAGATATTATCATCTTACCTGAGAATGGTTTGTCTAGTCTTAAGAATGAAGCATGGAGCCAGGCACCAGTGGCTCATGCCTGTAATCCTAGCTACTCAGGAGGCAGAGATCTGAGTTTTGCAGTTTAAAGCCAGCCTGGGCAGGAAAGTCTGTGACACTCTTATCTCCAATTAACCACCAGAAAATTAGAAGTGGTGCTGTGACTCTAGCGGTAGAGCATTAACCTTGAGCTGAGGAGCTCACAGATAGCACCCAGGTCCAGAGTTCAAGCCCCATGACCAATTAAAAAAATAAATAAATAAAGCATGGAGGGCTGGGAATGTGGCTTTGTGGTAGAGTGCTTGCCTGGCATGCATAAAGTCCTAAGTTTGATTCATCGGTGCCACATAAACAGAAGAAGCCAGAAGTGGTGCTGTGGCTCAAGTGGTAGAATGCTAGCCTTGAGGAAAAGCAGCTCAGGGACAGCAACCAGGCCTTGAATTTAAGCCCCACCTAAGCCGGGCGCCATGGCTCACGCCTGTAATCCTAGCTACTCAGGAGATTGAGATCTGAGGATTGAGGTTCAAAGCCAGCCCGGGCAGGAAAGTCTGTGAGACTCTTATCTCCAATAAACCACTAGAAAACTGCTCAAGCGGTAGAGTGCTAGCCTCAATCGGAAGAGTGCAGGGACAGCGCCCAAGCCCAGAGTTCAAGCCCCACAACCAATCAAAAAAAAAAAAAAAAAGACATCACCTGCCTGAAACCAATAATCACCTGACTGTGAGTCATCCCAGACTCAGATCATTTTCTCATCCGCTGAGGTCATTCCTGCCCCCCCACCTTGGTTGTGGGCCCTGAACTCTGGGCCTGGGCGCTGTCCCTCAGCTCTTTAGCTCAAGGCTAGTACTCTACCACTTGAGCCACAGCGCCACTTCTGGCTTTTTCTGCTTATGTGGTGCTGAGGAATCCAACCCAGGGCTAAGGCATGTAAGGCAAGCACTATACCACTGAGCTACCTTCCCAGCCCACTGAGGTCACTTTCTGAACCACACCATCACATCTCGTTCAGATAGTGAGAGGTTCCCCAGGCTCTGGGGCTCTGAGATCATTTCCGCATCTCCTGTGATCAACCTCCTCCTCACCTTTCCCTATATAACCCCTCTCAACCACAAATTCTCTCTCTTCCTCTTTTCCCCCCTTTTACTGATAAAAGTAAAAAGAGATAAATCTCTCCTCTATCTAGTGTGGGCCAGCAGGTTGCGCTCCCCCACCAATAAACTTTTCTGCCCGAACCACATGGCAGTCTTGGCAAACCTTACACAGAAAAGGCCCACTTTGAGGAAGGTGCCACCTCTAGAGCCAGGGGACATCTTTAGTGTAAGAGCTGGTTCTTAAGCTATTTGTTCAAGATAAGAGAGGAAAATGAGGATTTCCATAGATGGTTATAGTTCATGAGAAGCAGGTCATAGCAACAATGGAGGGAAGATGGCTTTAGTAATAATAGAGGAGACTGAAGCCAAATTACAGGGTGTTTAATTTGTTTGCTCATTTTTGTGCTGGTACTGCAGTTTGAACTCAGAGCCTGGGTTCTGTCCCTTAGCATTTTCTGCTCTAATCTGGTATTCTACTATATTTGAACCACACTTCCAATCCTGGCTTTTTGCTGGCTAATTAGAGATAAGAGTCTCAGGGATTTGTTTACTTGGGCTAGCTTTGAACCACATTCTTCAGACCTCAGCCTTCTAGGCAGCTAGCATTATAGGTGTGAACCACAGCCAGCATTTTATTTTAAAAGATTCTTATAGTAGAGAAACTAGGACACAGAATTTATTAACTGATACATTTATATAACTCAATCTACAGATACAGCTCACAAAGCAAAGACAGAAAATGTTCAACTCTTCCAATTTTCCTCTTACCTCTCTTATACAATTTTTTTCTTTTATACATCCTACTTATCCTTACTCATTTTCAACTATATTCTTTGTCTATAATAAACAGAGATATATGAAAAACCTTAACAAAGTAATGATATTTTAAAAATAAATTAATAAATACTTGTTAAGTATTTCTTTTTTCTTTCTTTCTTTCTTTTTGGCATTACAGGGGTTTGAGATCACTTAGAAATCTAGTACCCACCAATGAATCATAACTCTTGCCCTTGTCTTCTACTGGTAATTTTGAGATGGTATCTATTGATCTTTTCTTCCTGGAGTTAGCTTCAAGCCAGTCCTTCAGATCTTAGTTACTAAGTAGCTAGGCTTACAAGTGTAAGTCAGCCAGTCTTGGCAAGTACTTCTGAGGTCAGAATAAAGAAAGGTGCAAGAAAGACTCTGTAACTACCCCTAGGAGCAGGAAAGCCTTAACAAATAATGGTAATAATAATCGACACTCTTATATCCCAACAACTTCCTAAGGGGCAGAAATGGAAAGACAGAGGGGAAAGATGTAAGGGAGCTGTGGAGCCAGGAAACATAAAATTATGTTGAGAACCACTGTCTTTTGAAGGGATAAGGCTGGCAACAGAATTGTCTTTAGAATCTCTGGAATACCTACTTTGCTGTGGAGAAACAAGGCAAAGCATAGCCTTTTTTTCTGTCTAGAATGTACTTTTCCTTCTCTAACTGGTGTGTGTGTGTGTGTGTGTATGTGTGTGTGTTTGTGTTCCTCTACCGATACAGAGCTTGACCTTGGAGCCTTCTTCTTGCTAGATAAGCACAGATGGGTTTCTAGGCATCCTTTCAAACTACCCACTTGATGGTGCTTTTCCTAACAGAAGCTTCTCTGGACAGAGATCATTCATCCATCCTCTTGGCTCTTATAGGACTTCATCCATGCTTGTAAGTCCACCATTATTACACTTTTATGAGCTCACAAGTCTGTCCTCTGATCAGAGATTCTCTGGCCTTCTTATCCTGATGCTTTTTTTTTTATAGTGCCAGGCATAGGTTAGGTAATTAGTAACTGTGTGAAAAAATAAGGAGCCCTGGGCATTGGTGGATCCTAGCTACTCAGGAGGCTGAGATCTGAGGATCATGGTTCAAAGCCAGCCAGGGCAAGCACATCCATGAGACTCTTATCTCCAATAAACCACCAGAAAACCAGAAATGGTGCTGTGGCTCAAGTGGTAGAGCTCTAGCCTTGATCTGAAGAGCTGAGAGACAGTGCCCAGGTCCAGAGTTCAAGCCCCATGACAGACAAAAAAAAAAAAAAAGGAGAAAAGAGTCAAGAAATAAAAACCAAACAAAAAACTCAGAAAGAGACAGACATAGGGGCTGGGAAGGTGGCTCAGTGGTAGAGTGCTTGCCTTGCATGCATGAAGCCCTGGGTTCGACTCCTCAGTACCACATAAGCAGAAAAAGCTGGAAGTGGGGCTATGGCTTAAGTGGTAGAGTGCTAGCCTTGAGCTGAAGAGCTGAGGGACGGGCCCAGGCCCAGAGTCAGTCCCCACAACTAACCAAAAAAAAAAAAAAAAAGAAAGAGACAGACATAGTGGTACACACCTGTAATCTCAGCACTTAGGGGGTTCAAAAGTTCAAAGCTAGCCTGGGTAGTATAGTGAGACATTGTCTCAAAAACACTGAAATATAATAAATGTTAGGCTGCCAATGAATGAGAACACCACACGGTATTTAGGCAAGGAGAAAGGTTTCCAAACTGCTGGCTGGCCTCCAGCCAAGTTGGTAGTGCAAGTAGCTGGATAAAGGGGTGAGTCACCCCTAGGCAAGGACCTCAGAGAAGGGGGAGGTGACTGTCTCCAGGTGTGCCAGTTAACTAGGTGACACAGCTATTGGGCCAAGACTTAGCCAAGAGGAGGGAGGAATCTTCCCTGCCTTCCCAGGGCAGACCTTACAATAAGAAAATGGGAACTGAGGGCTGGAAAGGTGGCTCAGTGGTAGAGTGCTTGCCTTGCATGCATGAGGCCCTGGGTTCGATTCCTCAGCACCACATAAGCAAAAAGAAAAAGCTGGAAGTGGCGCTGTGGCTCAAGTGGTAGAGTGCTAGCCTGGACACTGCCCAGGCCCAGAGTTCAGGCCCCATGACCAGACCCCCCCCCCCCCCCCCCGCAAAAAAAAAAAGAAAATGGAAACTGATTTAAAATAACCCTAGAGGAAAGGGACTGACACAAGGAAAGGGTTTTTCTGAATTTTCTCTATATTTAGTTCTTTCGGGCACTTCCTCTTACACCTTAGGACCTCCCACCATAACGGTCTTATTTCTACTCCTGATATCCTCAGGAACCTATAGGGAAGGAAAGAAACCAGAAAGAAGCCAGGCATAATGCCATACACCTGTAATACCAGCCCTCAAGAGACTGAAACAGGAGGATTTTTGCTGGTTAATTGGAGATAAGAGTCTCATAAACTTTCCTGCCCAGGCTTGGAACCGTGATTCTCAGATCTCAGCCTCCTGATTAGTTACAATTACAGTCATGAGTCACCAGCACCCAGCTCCTGCTGTTTACCCGGCAGGTTTGGTGTGGTGCCCAGTAGGAATCAATGATATGTGCTGCACCGTAGGCAGGGTCAGGATGCAGGCAGGCATCTCTGCCCGTGGTCTTGGCAGAGTCCCCAGGCAGAGCCATCGGCCAAGACCAGGGCAGTAGGCATGGATAAGGTGGGAGAGGGCATAAGTACGGTGGCTGTAACCCCCCAGCACCAGCAGCTCCCCCTGCAGTACAGCACTTGCAGCCCCCACATGGGGGGAGGGCAGAGGAGCCAGGTGAGTCCAGCTACCAGTCTTCAGTTCATAGGCTTCAAAGCTCAGCAGGTCCCCAGTCTCCCCTAGCCCACCTGCCACATACAATCGCCCACCCACAGCAGCCATAACATGGCCAGCCCGAGGTACCCCCATAGGACTCAAAAGTGTCTCTGGCTTCTCAAGTGTGGGATCATAGTGCAACAGTGTGGCCAGGTATTGTCCAGTGCCACTACAGCCACCGCTCACATATATTTGGCCTTCTAAGACAGCAGCTGCATGGGCAAAGCATGGTGATGGCAGTGAAGGTGCTGGCCTAGGAGAGGACAAGATACAGTATCAGTAAGTAGCAGCTTCTTCTGATCTCCCTTAGTTGCCCAGACTGGCCTCAATTTGTGTGTGTGTGTGTGTGTGTGTGTGTGTGTGTGTGTGTGTGTGTGTGTGTGTGTGTGTGTGTGTGTGTGACTATTGGGTCTTTGAACTCAGGGAACGGGTGCTCTCCTGAGCTTTTCATTCAAGACTGGCACTCTACCAGTTGAGTCACCCTTCCATTTCTGGCTTTTTGTAGATTGAGTCTTTTTTTTTTTTTTTTTTTTGCCTGTTGTGGGGCCTGAACTCTGGGCCTGGGCGCTGTCCCTCAGCTCTTCAGCTCAAGGCTAGTACTCTACCATTTGAGCCACAGCACTACTTCCGGCTTTTTCTGCTTATGTGGTGCTGAGGAATGGAACCCAGGGCCTCTTGCATGCAAGGCAAGTACCCTACCACTGAGCCACCTTCCCAGCCCTAGATTAAGAGTCTTATAGGCTTTCTTGCCTGGGCTGGTTTTGAGCCTAGATTAGCATATTTTAGCCTTTCTGAGTAATCAAGATTAGACATGAGCCACCCACCAGTGCCCAGACTTGGCCTCAATCTTGAGATCCTGCCTCAGTCTCCTGAGTGCTAGGATTACATCCAGCTTCAACCCTCTTTTTTTTTCCGAAGTCTAGTTTCTCCCCACTTCTCCTTTGCCTGCTTACCTCCAGACATTGAGCTCAGGGTTATAGGTCTCCACAGAGCTAAGGGCAATACCATTGTCTCGTCCACCCAGGGCATAAAGTTGTCCATTCAATGCCACCAGAGGAAAAAAGCTCCTTGCCTGACAAAGAGGTTCCATCTCTTCCCAGCCCTCTTGACTGGGGTCCCACCTGGACACAGTGGGAGAGAGAGATGGGAAGAATGAGTCTGGGAGCCTGTGGTTGGCTGCATGAACAATTTGTCTCACCTGCCCTGCCCTGCCCTGCCCTGCCCTGCCCTCTGTTAGGCAATCTTACCTGAGAGTAGAAGCCAGAGTGTTAGAGTGGCTGTAGAAATCCTGACCTCCACACACATAGAGCTCGCATCCTGCTAGGCTGGCAGCGCCATGCCGGAAGCGCCCCGGGGCAGGCAGAGGAGGCAGCCACCCCCACTCCACAGTGCGGACCAGTCCCATACCACAGCGGAAGGCCCTGGCCCACCACACTTTACGAGATGGCTGTCTTTGAGCCATGTCGGGAGTGAGCCCATCCCCACCAATCACCACCAGTGCTCGGTCTGGCTCCCTTCTCCGCTCTTGACCTGGAATCTCAGCCTCAACCATCAGCTGATGGAGCAGGTCTGCGGGCAGAGGTGAGGGTAGCCCAGCTGCTCGCACTTTCCGAAGCTCCCTGGTAGACATGCGGCCAAAACGGACACATCGTAGCAGGGCCTTCGCGTCTGACTCCTGGGTCTCAGGGTTGGCAGCTAGCCAACGTCGTGCTGCCACAAAGGCCTCAAATTCCTCTTGCACATGTAGCTCATCGCTGTCCAGAAGGTCAGCCAGGCAGACAGCTGGCAAAGAAGGAAAAGTGGGGCACAAAGCCACGGCAGGCAGGTGGGTCAGAAGGTAGTGGCGAGCTTTTCCCCGGAGCCTTTCCAACCCAGGGGCTTCGGCAGTGGGAAGCAGGGCCAGGCAACGGGCAGGGCTGAGGCTTCGCGCCAAGGCTTTCTGACACAGATCCAGGCAAGAAGAGCTTTGATACTGCAAGGCAGCTTGGGCAGCTCTTAACAGTCCTGGCCATCGTGCCCGTACAATCCCAGAGTAGGCAAAAGAGATGAGCAGGCGCAGGTCCTGGATAGAGATGGTACGCAGAGACACCTCTGTGCCCTGGGATTCCCTCATCCCACTAAGGAGCATGGCCCTAAAGAACTCACTACCACAGGCCAGCGCTGCTCGGTGAACTGCAAGAAGAGGAGAAAGCAGAGGACTCTGTAACACTGCTAGACATAGTACTGATGTGACAGTCCCAACTTTGACCCAGTCACCAAAGACCACAGGCCAAAACTATGGCATGCACGGTAGTATCACAGGGTACTTGGATTTTGTTTTAGAGAAAGAGAGAGAGAGACAGAGAAAGAGAGAGAGAAAGTGCACTCATGTGCAATGCTCGAGCTTATGTTGGTACTGCAGCTTGAACTCAAGGATTGGGAGCTGTCCTTGAGCTTTTTCACTCAAGGCTGATGCTCTGCTTCTTGAGCTTCAACTGGACCTTGGTGGTGGATTGAAGAGAAGAGCTTACAGAGTTTCCTGCCTGGGCTGACTTCAAACCTCAATCCTCAGATCTCAGCCTCCTGAGTAAGTAGGATTACAGGTGTGAGTCACTGGTGCCCAACTTGTTAAAATGCAGGGGGGTTTTGTTTTTGTGTTTGTTTTTTTTTTTTTTAAATTTTTGTCAGTCATGGAGCTCGAATTTTGGGCCTGTGCGCTGTCCCTGAGATCTTTAGCTCAAGGCTAGGGCTCTACCACTTGAGCCACAGTACCACTTCTGGTTTTCTTGTGGTTTATTGGAGATAAAGAGTTTCACTGCTTTTCCTGCCCAGGCTGGCTTTGAACATCGATCCTCAGCTCTCAGCCTCCTGAGTAGCTAGGATTACAGGCATGAGCCACTGGTTCCAAGCATAAACTGCTCAAGACTTTTTTTTTTTGCCAGTCCTGGGGCTTGAACTCAGGGCCTGGGCACTGTCCTTAAGCCTCTTTTGGTCAAGGCTAGCACTCTACCAATTGAGCCACAGTGCCACTTCTGGCTTTTTCTGTATATGTGGTACTGAGGGCTTCATGCATGCTAGGCAAGCACTCTACCACTAAGCCATATTCCCATACCAAAATGCAGTTTTGAGGACTGAGAAGGTAGCTTTGTGGTAGAGTGTCTGGGTAGCGTGTGCAAGTCCTTTAAGGCCCATCTCCAGCACACAATAGATATACATAAATTCATACCTACTTTTATACAGCTTTCATGGACCCACCAGAGGGTTTTTGATTCAGTAAGTATGTATGAATGGAGGCCCTAGGAATTTGTGTTTTAAGTCTGGCATTGGTAGCTCATGCTTGTAATCCGGTTACTCAGGAGGGTGAGATCTCAGGATCTTAGTTCAAACCCAGGATGGACAGACAAGTCCAAGTCTTCTATACCCAATTAACCAGCAAAAAGCCAAAAGTAGAGGTATGTGGCTCAAGTAGTATAGTGCCATACTTGAGTGAAAATGCTAAGGGAGAGCAACCTGGCCCTGAATTCAAGTCTTAGTATCAGAACACACAACAACAAAAATAAATTAAAAAAAAAATTTTTTTTGAAGTGTGCTATGGCTCAAGTGGTAGAGCTCTCGCCTTGAGCTGAAGAATGCAGGGACAGCACTCAAGCCCAGAGTTCAAGCCCCACTACCAACAAAAAAATAAAATAAAAATAAATAAATAAAAGAATTTTTTTTCTTGTCTGTTATGGGGCTTGAACTCAAGGCCTGGGTGCTGTCCTTGAGCTATTTTGCTCAGGACTAGTGCTCTACTACTTTGAGCTGCAGCGCCACTTCCAGTTGTTGTTGTGTTTTTTTGTTTGTTTGTTTCCTTGTTTTTTTTGCTGGTTGTGGGGCCTGAACTCTGGGCCTGAATGCTGTCCCTCAGTTCTTCAGCTCAAGACTAGTGCCCTATCACTTGAGCCACAGCACTACTTCTGGCTTTTTCTGATTATGTGGTGCTGAGGAATCCAACCCAGGGCCTCAAGCATACAAGGCAAGCTCTGTACCACTGAGCCACCTTCCTAGGCCCACTTCCAGTGTTTGAGTGGTTAATTGGAGATGAGTCTCACAGGGACTTTTCTGCCCAGGCTGGCTTTGAACTGTAATTCTTAGATCTCAGCCTGCTGAAAAGCTAGGATTATAGGCATGAGCCACCAGCGCCTGACAGAGTTGTTAATTTTGCTGGGTATAATAAAGATATTTTGGATATATGAAAAATATTCCTGTTTTTTTTTTGTTGTTGTTGTTGGTCATGGGGCTTGAACTCTGGGCCTGAGCGCTGCCCCTCAGCATTCCAGCTCAAGGCTAGGGCTCTACCACTTGAGCTATAGCGCCACTTCTGGTTTCTGGTGGTTTATTGGAGATAAGAGTCTCATGGAGGGCTGGGAAGGTGGCTCAGTGGTAGAGCACTTGTCTTGCATGCCTGAAGCCCTGGGTTCGATTCCTCAGCACCACATAAGCAAAAACAAAAAAGCCAGAAGTGGCGCTGTGGCTCAAGTGGTAGAGCGCTAGCCTTGAGCTGAAGAGCTGAGGGACAGTGCCCAAGCCCAGAGTTCAGGCCCCACGACCAGACCCAAAAAAAAATAAAAAATAAATAAAAATGAAAAAATATAAAAGAGTCTCATGGACTCTGGGATGGCTTTGAACCGTGATCCTCATATCTCAGCCTTCTGAGTAGCTAGGATTATAGGTATGAGCCACCAGCACCTGGCTGTTCCTATTTTTATTTGTTGGCTTGGGACTGAACATGGTCTAGCTAGGTACACAATCTACCACTGAGTCACATCCCCAGTCCAAACTTTTTAAGGCACCAAATGAGAGAAATGTCATTAATTTACATTAAACTTCAGCCCAAAATAACAAGATGAAATAAATATAATGGGATACTACTACGTATATGTGACAAGTGTTTGAGTCTTTACATTTATTTATTTATTTATTTATTTGCCTGCCCTGGGGCTTGAACTCTGGGAGCTGTCCCTGAGCTCCTTTTGCTCAAGGCTAGCATACTCTACCACTTGAGCCACAGTGCCAGGTATGGCTTTTTCTGTGATTATTTAGAGATAAGAGTCCTGTCCAGGCTACTTCGAACCACAATCCTCAGATCTTAACCTCCTGAGTATCTAGAATTATAGGTCTCAGGAATCAGTGCCTAGCTCTTTACTTAATTATATGTTTGAAACACTTCATAAAAAAAAATGAAGGAAGGGCTGGGAAGGTGGCTCAGTGGTACAGTGCTTGCCTTGCATGCATGAGGCCCTGGGTTGGATTCCTCAGCACCACATAAGCAGAAAAAGCTGGAAATAGTACTGTGACTCAAGTGGTAGAGCACTAGCCCTGACCTGAGGAGCTGAGGAACAGCGCCCAGGCCCTGAGTTCAGGGCCCATGACCGACAAAAAAAAAAAAAAAAGGAAAATACTGCTAGGAGCCCTCAGGCAGGTCACAGGGACCAAGCTGCCAGTGAGACTGGTCAGTTGTGACACATATGACTCTTGTTCAAAGGGAATTCATGTTGATATAAATTTTCATGTGCCTCCCCCAAAGTAAACATCAGTGATAGTTTCTCATTATATATTGTCTGAGAAAATCTACATTCCTGAAAACAAGCTCTATATACTCTGTTCCTAAGAGTTTCAGTAATGGGTTCCAAGATACTGATGTGAATGTTTAAATCTCAAATTCTAGGAGAAATTTATAATTATGAAATTTTAGTGAGAAAGGACCATTTCTCCATCTGGTTCAATAGGAAATGATAATGAAAACCTTTGGGATTTTATTTTTTCTGGGAATCCCAGAAATTCTTTGGTTCCCAGTCATTACTCTAATGAATAGTAACAGTAACATTTTGGCTTGGAGTATGTTTGTTTTTGTTTTGTTTTGTTTTTTCATTTGTTTTGTTTTGTTTTGGTGTTCCTGGGGCTTGAATCCAGTATGCTTGAAACCAGTATACTGAGCTTTTGCTTAGCTTTTTCACTCAAAGCTGGTGTTGAACAACTTAAATCATACCTCCACTTCTCATTTTTTGTTAGTTAATTGGAGATGAGTCTCTTGGATATGTCTACCAGGGTTGGCCTGGAACCGAGATCCTCAAATCTCAGCTTCCTGAACAAGTCAGATTATACTGGTGCCCAACTTGGACATGCCTTAGAGTCTGATTTGTTCATTGGTAAAACGTAAGTCCTAAACTAGATAACTTTTAAAGTAATGCTTATGACTTTAAATTTGTATGTGTCACAAGTTGTATGTCTTGGTGTAACTTCAGGAGGCAATGTATGGCTTAGTGCAAGCAGACTAGACTAATGCATGTGGGCTGTATCTGGTTCCCATCATTAAATCATCTTTGAGTTTGATTAATGTTCCTCATTTGCTCCTAAGGACAATGGTACCCACCTCATTGCTTCTAGTGAGAATTAAGAGATGTCATCCGTAAAAATTCCTGATACTTGTTACTTCACTAAATGTTAGATTTTCTTGGGACAGTGATGAGCAGAATTAAACTAAAGTGCCTGGACTAATAGTTGTAATTTTTTTTTTTTTGCAGTATGGGGACTGAATCTCAGGCCTATCATTTGCCTCTATACTATTTGAACTGCATCCAGACCTGGTGACACCAGACTTTGTCATGAACTGCAGAACCACAGTGTGGAAGGTATTTTGGTAAAAGGACACACTAGGAGTTTTCCAAGTCATTTCTCTGCCTTTTGCTGTGTACTGAATAGAAGATTCTAAGAGGAGCCTTGGATCAACTTGCTTGAGTCCATCACTTTCTGCTTGTTCTATTGCCATGGATTGTACCCTTAACTCAGCCAGCTGGCTGGAAATTCCAGTTACTGAGCAGGAAAATGCTCAGGGCCTGAAGGGTCAATTTAAATCTGTCAGTGAGCCTAGGAAAACAACTCAACTGCGCATGTGCTGGTGAGGCACTAACCTTCACCTCAGGAAATTCTTACTGCCACAAGAATCCAAACCAGGGGGCTGGGAAGTTGGCTCAGTGGTAGAGCGCTTGCCTTGCATGCCTGAGGCCCTGGGTTCGATTCCTCAGCACCACATAAGCAAAAAGAAAAAAGCCGGAAGTGGCGCTGTGGCTCAAGTGGTAGAGCGCTAACCTTGAGCTGAAGAGCTGAGGGACAGTGCCCAGGCCCAGAGTTCAGGCCCCACGACCGGACCCAAAAAAAAAAAAAAAGAATCCAAACCAGTATGGGTGGGCTGGGATGTAGCTCAGTGATATTGCCTAGTGTGCACAAGTCCTTGGACTCTATCCTCAGCACCACAACAAAACAAGCAAGCAGGTAGGAGTATATAGCATGCAATTTGAAGCCAGTCCTGGCTGGAAAGTCCATGAGACTTTTATCTCCAATTAACCACTAAAACACCAGAAGTGAAGCTATGACTCAAGTGGTAGAGTGCTAGTCTTGAGCAAAAAAAAAAGCTCAGAAACAGTGCCCAGGCCCTAAGTGCAAGCCCCAGAACTAGAAACAAAACACTCCACAAGCAACAGACAAACAAAAACAAACCCTGCTATGGCAGAGATCAAGCCACCTGCAACTTGCACACAACATCCCAATGGTATGTACATCTGCAGAAATGTAACAAACACCCCATAGGCTCACCCCATAGCCGGTAGCCTTCGGCCTCCAGCTCCAGGTCACACCCAATACCATCCTGGTACAGGAGTTCAATGCTGTGCAGATTCTCCCTCAGCTCCTCTGCCTGGCTGAGCTTCTTCACCTTTCCAGGCTGGGCTGCAGCCTTCACTCGGGGTGCTCCCAGTGCTTCAGCAGCAGCCAGCACTTCATTCCGTGAGGCAGGGCCTAGGACTCCTTCATAGGCAAAGCTCAGCAAGGCCTCCCAACCCCCTGGGGTCACATTGAGGCTGAAGCAAGGCTGTGGACCTTTGGCATGCTTCAGCCTGCCTTGAAAGAGGCTGCTGACTGCAGCCAAGATCACTTGATGTACCCCATATACTCTTCCCCCAACTGACACCTCTTGATCCAGCAACAGCCTCTGCTCCCGCAGCCGCAGGGCTTCTGCAAAGAACTGGCTGACATGCTTCTCACTGCGCAGCTCCTCAGGCTGGGCTGCATCTTCATCATCCTCATCCTGCTCCTCTTCCTCAAGGGACAGAGCTGGAAAGGCAAGGGTACCTGGGACCAGGGGTCTGGGGCCAGGCTCTTCCAAAGGAAAGGGAAGTAACCCAGGGTCCTCACCAGGGGAAGGCGGCCAGGAAGGGGCTCTTCTTGTAGGCAAAGGGAGTCCAAGGCAATCCTTCTGCACTGGAAGGGAGGTGCACTCCAAGTCAGACTGATGATGTGTTGCCTGGGGAATGCTCATGGCCAACATTTGCTGGTTTACTACAAGTGAGTAGGCAAGAAAGAAAGGTATCTTACTACACCCAGAAAGGCCAGAACACTGTCTTCAACTCTCTGAAGTCAGTTCCTCCTTCCTGTACCACCTTCCTACCTCCACCCAAGACTGGAGTAGTGGGCACTATTCAATTCATTAGGTCTTACAGGTACAGCAAAGCATCTAAGAAATATGTGTACTGCGGATCCAGTACTCAGAATTGAATCCCTCCCATCTTTCTCCCTCCTTTTAGTCCCTCTCACAAGACACCAGCCTTCTGCTTGCTCTCTCCCTTGAGTGCCTGCTCTTGTTTGGGACTGCAGTGTACAAAGGGAACACATGGTATCCCATCAGTGCCCCCTCCCCCCCTGGCTAATTATAGCTGGCTTGGAGGCCTAAACAGTAGGCTCCCAGTGTAGGACTGTGACACCCAATCTCCTGGGTCCCGTCCTGGGATGACCCCCTTTTCTATCTGTAGGTTACAAGGGGGTTCTGAGTGAGGGGAATTTGGAAGCCAAGGAGAATCTGGGCATTGGGCAGAGTGAGCCAGGCCAAAGGGCTGGCTGGTAGTGGTGTTGAAAGGTAGCAGTGGTGGTGGTGAGATCTGCAAAGTTTAGACTATGCTGAGCTAGACAAAAAGAGGAAAATGTGTTTTGAATCAGCCCTGGGCTTGGACTGTTGACTGTTCTGTGCACAATAAAGCTGGGACCTTGAAGAAGCAAATAATACTGAAGTGAATGAAATACAAACAGCCCAGCCCAGTTCACAGAGGGCAGAAGAGAGGTGCTTAGTGAAGGGGTGGGGTTCAGGTTACAGATATAGGTGATCACCTGTCAGGGCTTCCTGCCTGTCATTAAGTGAAAACCCAAACCCTACTCTATGTCTTCAGAAGTCTAAACTTGGGCCTCTGGGTTGAAGATCAAACAGTCTGTGTGGTTGATGTCCCTGAAGTGGGATCCAGAGTTCTGGACTAGTTGGGTTGGGAGCACATAGGTATTCTTGCTTTAGGTAGAACATTAACAGCCACTCCTCTGCTGGCAATCATATCTCCTTTCTTTTCCTGAGACTTATACCTGGATAAAACCCATGGGATAGTGACATGGCATTGCAGGGAACTTCCAGGTATCATCCTTAGAAAAGGATATAAGGGAGAAAGGCAGCAATGGTCCTCCTCTCTCCTCTCCTGAAAGCCACACACAAGCCAAAGGCTGCCAAGGATAGACTTCCAGGCCTATAAAAAAAGCCAGTCCAGGCTGGATAGATTGACACAGAGGCTGTCCCTTAGGACTAAGGTGAGTGGGCTGCCATGGAATAGGGGAAGAAAATATCAGCATCCCCTCCACTTGCTATTTTCCTACTTGCAGCTTGGGTATCCTATTCCAACCCAGGCAATGTTCCCTGGGTGAATCTAGCCCACAGGCCACACTCCTCCAAATGGGTGGTTTTGTTTTGTTTGAGACAGGGTATGTAAGAGCCTAGGCTGGCTTAAAATTTGAGATTCTCTTGCCTCACTCTCCTGACTGCAGGAGATTATAGTCAGGTACCACAACGCATACCTCAAAGTGGTTTGATTGAGAGAGATATGCCATGGTGTCCTAGCTAATGAAAGGCAAGAAATGATTGGCTTCTGCACTTTCTTTCTCAGCTCAAGCATTTCAGACTTCCTTTTCTTTCTTTCTTTTTTTTTTTTTTTTGGCCACGGATCTTCAACTCTGGGCCTGGGCTCTGTCCCTGAGCTCTTCAGCTCAAAGTAAGCACGCTACTACTTGAGCCACAGTGCTATTTTTTGGTTTTCTGGTGGTTTTTACTGGAGATAAGAGTCACAGCCTTTCCTGCCCAGGCTGCCTTTTAAACTGATCCTCAGACCTCAGCCTCCTGAGTAGCTAGGATTACAAGCATGAGCCACCAGCAGCCAGCTCAGACTACTCTTGTGCCCTCCCTATAGCAAGACAGCATCTTTAATTTCCATCATGAAGTAGAACTACAATTCAAAGACATACTCATAGCCACAATTCAAAGACATACTCATAGCCAACTTCTGCCTGCCACCTCCCTACAAGGATAAAAATATTGGACCCTACTATGAGTTTCTTTTTTTTTTTTTATTGTGAAAATACTGTACAGAGGGGTTACAATTACATGGGCAAGATAGCGAGTGCATTTCTTATCAAGCATTGGAGCCTCCTTTGTTTACTTTCCCATCCCTTCCCAGCCTCCCTCCGCCCCCGTACCTAATCCTTCCCCCCCCCCCCCCCCACCAAAGTAGTAAAGTTCATTTTCGACATGACAACTTGTACTTCTCATTGTTGCAATGTGGACCCTACTATGAGTTTCTATGACACCCTGACTGCTCTTATCATTGGGAGAATAAACTCTTCTCCCTCCTTTTCCTCCTTTTTCTGTCAGTTCTGGGGCTTGAATTCAGGGCCTGGGCACTGTCCCTGAGCCTCCTTGTGCTCAAGGCTAGTTATCCACCACTTGAGCCACAGCACCACTTCCATTTTGAATTGGACTTTTCTGCTTGTGCTGACTTTGAACTGTGATCTTCAGATCTCAGCCTCCTGAGTAGCTAGGATTACAGGTGTGAGCCACCAGTGCCCAGCTAGACTAGTCTTCTATCTGGACCACCACCTACTCTCCATTAAAGCCCTGAGATTGCCCTCCTCCTTCAAGGTCAAATAGCCCACTTCTAAGTTTTGGACACACTGGCTTGGGACACCTCCTGTCATTTCAGTCATATCTGTTGTCTTGGCCAGAGGATAGTGAGACTGCCACTTCTGCAGAGGAGACACATATCAAGACACACTCCCAAGAGGCTGATCCAGAAAATTCCTGGGTCAGGACCAGAATGACCAAGTGTGCTTTGGCTGGGTCATAAGAATCATGGTAACAAACTGAAACTCAGGGTTTTCAACATTTGGGAATGTAGGTAGATGAGAGAGAATTTTGTTCCAGAAACCTTGGAGGGCACCTCTGAGAAAGGGAGAAGGGGACTGGAGGAGAATTACCTCCTATTCCACTCTGTTCAACAGATCTGCTAGATGTTCATCTGGGGAATTATCCACTACCTTAGGGTGTCTTGGATTGCTGCTCAGGCTGGCACAGGCATAAGCAAGTCAGAGTTCTCTTGTATAGTAGAAAAGGATTTAGGGGACACGGTTGAATGAATGCATTCCCATCCCTCCCCAGGGCTCACATGTTCATTATCCTGCTCTCAACTTCTGTCTTAGTAGTATGTACTGTCTCTCTTTGCCATTTCCAAAATGGCAAATTCAACACTAAAAGTCTGTTTTGTCTCTGTTATCTCTCCTAGTCCCCAGCCCTGTCAGGAATTGCTGAGATCATAAAGCAGCTCCTCTTGTGTGTATGCTCATGTGTGTGTGTCGGGAGCTTGAACTCAAGGCCTGGACTGTCCCTTAGTGTTTTTGCTTAAGGCTGGTTCTTTACCAATTAAGCCACAGCTCACTTCTAGTTTTTTGGTAGTTTATTGGAGATGTAAGTCTCATGGACTTTTCAGCTTAGCCTGAGTTGGCTTTAAACTTTGATCCTCAGATCTAAGCCTCCTTAGTAGCTGGGATTACAGCCATCAGTGCCTGGCCAGTACTCCTTTTTAAAAACTTTTTAAATTATTATAAAGGCACTATACAGTGATTACAGTTACATAAGTCAGGTAAAGAGTACATTTCTTTTGGACAATGTCACTCCTTCCAATTTTTCCTTTTCATCCCCACCTACAAGTTGTATAGTTCATTTTCAACATAGTATCTAGTGAGTTCCACTGCTGTATTTGTTTACCCTTTGTCCCTCCATTTCTGTGTTAGCACTCCTTTTATGGGAAGAGGTTGAGGAGAGGGAGCTAGAAGGTTGAGAGGGGCAGATCATAGGACAGGAGAGCTGGAGCAGTCATCTCTTTCCCACTCACATTTCTTTGGCCTTTCCTTTATTATCCATGGTATTTCATCTTCAAATCATCTTGTTCTTGACCCTCCTATCAACTACCTGCTGAGGACTCTGCTCACATACCCTAGTCAACAGCTACTGGCTTCTTTGGGTACCAAAGTGAGATAGGGGAAGCTAACTGAGAAATATATTAAAGGTAATGAATGCTTCAGAATATCACTACCTCTTGAAGAAAGGGACCTCCTTAATGTAGAGAAGTCTCAAAACAGAGCTTTTGACTTCCAACCCTGTACGTTGTTTACAAATTGACAGACTAGTCAGGCACCCTCTAAGTCCCTGTGCTGGCTAGTTTATACAACCCTTATTCTTTCTGGCTTAACCTAAGTCATTGACTCTAACCTGGGTGAAGGAATAAGGATCTTGGCTGAGTGATGCAAAGCTAAGAAAAGCTCTTCCAAACCCCATTTCCTCTGTTCTTTCATACAGAAAACATTTTCTGGGCAAATATGGTCCCACAGTGGTATGATTGAGAGGGCAGTTTCTTTGGTATGTTTTCTACATTCTTCCTGAGCCAGCCACCGGGGTCCTGGCTGGGGCCAGTATCTCTGAGGACCTCAACATGAGAAGCCTGTCTGGGCATGGAGCACACTCACTGCACCAATTTGATCCTTACATTTGTTCCCAGGATCCTGCCACAGCTATCCCTAAAGAGACCCTCCTTGATGCCCTATAGACTATTCCATCTTACTTGGGTATCTCTGCCACCATTAGTCAGGCCTTGCCTCCCGTCTCTATTCATAATGAACAGGAGCCCTGGTTTCTGTTTCCCCAAGAGACTGGGGTATAAGTGGTGAAACAAGCAAGAGTAATGTACAAGCACAGCTAGCTCCCCACCTCCATCTCCCTACAACTCATCTCTCTTCATGAATTGTAATGATCTTTATCAAAGTTGATCCTACCTGCCTTGCACCACACACTTCTGTTCCCACCCTTGGACACTGGTGGTACTTAAACAGCACCTGCTAAGGGGGGGGGTGCCATTCTTCCCTAAAGGAACATGGATCCTCTATCTTATTTCTAGGCTCCCATATGGCTAGATGCTTCAGGA